CCCGCCGCTGGGGCCCGGCAGAGGGCGCGCGGCGGCCGCCTGGCTGGGCCGGGCCTGCGGGACTCGGCGCCGTACCCGGGTGATGTGGGTATTGACGGGCAAGGGCAGCTCCTCATCTGACTTCCAGACGCACTGACAGGAAATGAAACGTGAAAAATTAAAAATTTTCCGTTTAAACAATACATCCCCCTCCCTGTCCCCATTTCTCATTTTCTCATCTGCGTCATCCATAACAATGTTTGCTTCTTCAGTAGTTCCCTCGGGAAGGGAAAAACTGCCTCGTGCTGTGCTCCGGAGGACAGAAGTTCTCATTCCTTTCTGGAGCAGCTATCTCCGTGCACAAGCACCGGCCCAGGTCTGTAGGCAGATGCTGCCCACACAAAGTGCCTCCTTCCCCCGGGGAGAGGTACCTCCTCGCCCCGCGTGTGCCATGCTGGGCAGCAGCACTCAGAGCTCCGGTGCAGTCCAGCAGCTCTTGAAGAAAATCTCCCATCATAGTCACACTCTATATTCCAAGCTCAGGCAGCTCTCTGAACAGAACGCACCCTGCCAGTGGACCGTCAACTCTGTAGTTGGCAACTTCTGGTTAAAATTGTCTCTCCACTCTTAAAATAATGCAGGCAGGCCTCTTGCTGTTGGGAAAAGTGTCGTAAGGGGATGTCTCTTCCTCTACCTGGGGAAGGTGCCTGCCAGCCGGGCAGGTACCGCTGACTCCTGCCAGGCCTGATGTCATCCCTGCTGTCAGTTCCCGAAGCGAGCCTGTCCTAGTGCTTCAAGAAGTGCACTTACTATGTGTGATGGGTGAAATCTGAGCCGAGAAATGGGTGAAAGGCTGAGCAAACAGGACAGTTTCAAAAGAAAAGGGGTACGTGGCTAGTGCTGTGTGGCAATGGGAGGTGTCCCTAACATCTCTGCACAGGGCTTTGTCCGAGGTTCTCTTTCACTTCTCTGCACCATCCTGCGGGGCTCCCAAGCTAGCTGTCAGCATTTGACACTGTGAATTCTGAGGCTCTCCAGCTTCCAATGATTTCTGCTATATTCCCTTGCAATGTCAATCTAGATGTCACTACTGAAACAGAAAAGTGGCAGGATGTGTCCATGGCCCACAGAGATGGCACTGATAGTGGTTTAATGGGAAAGTTAGAGACCTCAGGCAGAGGTCTCAACCTTTCAGAGATCCATGTCGTGCAAGTAGGCCAGTGATTCTATGGTGATAAAAGAAATGTAAGAGGGAGAGGATGGGACTGTGTGCTGCACAAATCTCATCCATTATTAAGTAAAACAAAAATTGATTTATCTCACCAAAGTGGTTTTACAGAATTGCTAGAAGATGAAAATACCAGCTGGGCCACTAATCTTCTAGGTGAAGGCAGTCAGGATCTATAACAGGATATTCTGGGTTAGCTTCAACAGGGAGATGAAAGCAGCAATCTAGCATACTGATGCATAAATATTCAGTGCTTCCGTACTATTCTGTTCCCTTTCACCCAACCCAGGAGGTGCCTATGTTTCTGCTGTCAGATATGCATATAACCATTTCATTCTTCCTCAGCAGTCTTCTCAGTTCTAATCTAGGGAATTTCATGAAAGGTTTTGAATTGCCATAGCTTGCTACTGCTTCTGGAGGCAGTCCTGCCTGCCCTCTCCTGCTGCTTCTTGTGTTTTCTACCTCTGTCCATTTCGTGCTGACACAAGCAGTTGCACAGCCATGTCGCAATGGGATGGGACCATGCCATTTGGCAGCAGTGACAAGTTATGCCTATTTAAACTAAAGTATTGGATGTGAGATAAAAGTTAATGTCTGGCAAAGACAGTCCTCATAAAATGCTGCATTTTAAGAAAAACCAAAGTAGGCAATTCACCATGTATTTTGCCTGTCAGCCTGTCTTCTTGGTGTAGCTTCTCTTGCCGATAAAATACTATTGTCCCTACACCTCCAGACATAAGGCTATCTCCAAGGTTCAGATACAGTAAGGCATTGGAGAGGATTTGAACTATAGCTGTCACAGTGTAGGGAATGTGCCACATATGTTCTTAGTGAGAGGGTTCAAGAGAAACACCAGCTTCATATTTTTGTAAGATGGGATTGGCCTGTCCTGGGCAATTCTGCAGGAGGTCAGGGCAGTGAATCTGAGTGAAGGTAAGTTCTTTCCAACCTGACCCAGACATTTAACTTTCAAAAAGTGATACCTTTGAAAAGCTCTTCTCTTCAGCAAACTGAAGCATAAGTGCTGAGATGAGCCTCTCTCAAGAGATGAGTTTTTCCATGTCTATTTTACACACTGTTACTTACATTGAACAGTTGTGTATGGTTTTACATGATGTTGTCAATGCTAAAGAGGTGTGGTCCCTCTCTGACAACTTAGTCCTTTGTGATGTGCATCAACAAGAGGCAAAACCAGCAGCCAGCAGAGCATGTGAATGAAAAAATAGTTTGTAGAAATAGAAAAAGAAAGAATCTAAAGACAAGAAGTTTATGGACTGATCTTGATTATTGCTCCTCAGTTTCTCATAATCTGTTTGTGGGAGTTCATTTTTGGTTGGGTCTTTCAGATGTCAGGCAGTTTACTATTGCTACAGAAGACCCACTCTCAACCTGCAAACAACAGTAAGGACTGTAAGAATTGAAGCTTATAATTGAGAGGCGTAAATTCTAAATTCAAGACTTCATGTAGGTAACAAGGTGGCAAGTCACATGAATGCAGTGTTTTGCCGAACTCGCCTGCTTTATACAGCTGAATACAAAGGATTTTCTTGTTATGCATCTGAAACAATCTCCAAAGTGTAAGTTAATTTCATTCTGCTTTTAAATTTATGGCTGTGATTAAATACCTTGATTTACTTTATATTTAAAAAGCCCCCAACCAAACAACAAACCAGTTAATAAGGAATCAATTGCTGAGGCTTTTTAAAAGAAAAAGAAATTCAGCACAGAAACATTAAAGATCTAAATGGAATATGTAAATAGTCCCCATCAAAAAAAAAAAGCTGGCTACAATTAGGACTGAATGTATTTTAGTTGGCTCCTTTCATGTCCTTCACCAGGGTCCATACAAGCTGTTCCCACAATATAACTCTTTGTGGCTTATCTGCTCTTTTCTCTTTCAAGGACAAGTACAATTAGCTTCCTCAGAGGCCAGCTGTGCTAGGGGGGAAGCATGGCCCTGTTTATTGTTTATGGACTTTAAACTAGTGCAACTCGTGACAGAGTGGCTTCAGCTCTGTTTTTCATAAAAGTGTGTTTGGTTGGGCTCCATTCATTACCATTTTCAACAACTTGCATTTATGGAGATATTTCTCACCTCAAAAGAGCTTATTGAAGTGGTTAGCCAGGCCAGCCAACTAAAATGAACATATTGAAAATAAAAAGCAGATGAGCTTTACTCCAGCCTGTATTTTAGGTGGATTCAGTTTAACTCCCATGCCCTGTTTTTCACACACTAAAGCTAAAGCTGTGTAACATTCTGCTGTGAGCAAAGCTTAGCAGTTATATTGTTCCCAGAGTAAGTACATGGCTTCTACAATGTATTTTTTTTTCTGGGATTTTGAAAACTATTCCTTTAAAAAGTCATGATTTACT